TTATTTGTGGTCCGAATATGACTAATAGTTTTAGTTAGTCTGAAATTATGAATAACGTTAAAGGTAATGTTGATTAGTGATTCTACTGAAACTGGTAACAATTCTAGAGTTTATGGCTATAAATATGATCAAAAATGATAAATACAGTTGATAGTTATAATTCGTTTTTTAGGTTATAAGTACGGCTCATAGTTATGACCCTAGTTGATATTATAACTGTGGCTGAAAGTTGAGATAATTTCAACTTTTGCCTGGTCTTAGTTTATTATAAAAGTTTCAAAGTCACAGTTTCTATTCAAGATTATGCATGCTTGACTACTATATTCTGAATAAAAGCAATTATAATCCCGAGTTTCCTTCAAAGTCACCCAACAAAGAATAGATTGCTTTATTGATGCTCGACATACAAATAGAATAAAACATAGATCGTGAATGAATACATTATAATGCATTCAAAGCAGAATTATGGATGAACGAATAATTTATCGCAGAACAATCTATCTCTTGAACAACTCGTTGCAAGACAATACGTTACGATGACAAGATTCAATTATAATTTACATCTATTTTTTACTAATGAAGCGAGTTTATACTAAAATGCAAAGATTTACAATAGGAATACATTAAAAGTTGCTTTTTTTGATGGAGTCAAAGTTGCTCTCTATCAGTGCATGCTTAATTTTGCTAGTCTTCTCAAAGTATTTTTCCATTGTTAGAAGCCGTGAACTGTGGCCTAACTTTTTATGCGGACAAAAGAATTATCGTACTGTTGAAGATCAAAAATTGAATTTTGGTCATTAGTAATATTTCAAATAATGTTTATGGTCATTGGATTAGATGTTTCAAACTTAATTGAATAATCACTTCATTGTTGAAAAATGCATATAAAATATAATCAAATTATGTCATTGCGACCAATTGTCTCGCAACAAATTGTCTTAACATTGAATTTTGAAATATAGCTTTTTTTGAAGTGATAGATGTTTCAAATACTTGTATTTTCATCTATTCTATCCAGCATGTCAATAAATCAAAGTGATTATCATTTCAACTTAATTACATCTGGTCAACAAATTAAGAAGTTGAACGTTATAACCCAAGTTACAATCATTTTAACTTTTTGCCATTTTATATAGACCAGACCTTATTATCCATTAATCTTTTCTAAACTATACAATAAAATTTTTTTCATAATTCAAATTCGGAAAATTAAATGACTTACAAGAGAATTTTAATGGTATAGTTTGGAATAGATTAACAGATAATAAAATTTAATCTATATAACAGCGATCAAGGATGGAGATGAAACTGAAACAGGCAAATCATCATGGTCATCTCTCAATGAATCTTGTAGTATAGAATTGTTACTTTTTCATTACACAGATCGGTTATTTTAAAAACTCGAACGTCTAGAAACATGTCAATCTGTATAAGAAGTAACTCACAAATAGATAGGATCGAATTTATTTCTGTACTTTGTTCAAGGCTAATCTACATGTACATAGAGCTGATTAACAACCACCTACTAGTTATTATTATTCGTGTTTTTATTATCTTGGATAGTGTCAGCGAACAATTTCACAGACAAATAATATTGGAAAAAATGTAATTTGTCTCGAAAAAACTGATGAAAATGATTTCAGGGTGCTTAGTTAATAGAAAAATGATAAATTTGATCTTTTTTTTTCCGACTATAAAATAAGAGAATAAGATCTAGGAAAAAAACTCATTAACATTGAATGGTGGAATTAGAGAAAAAGATCTCGGTTTTTTCTACATATATGCGCATATGATTATATAGATACCAGTGTATATGATGAATAGAAAGAATGAAAAGAATAGAAAAGGTTGGGTGTGAGTCTGGATGTGGGTTGGAATATACTCTACATCCACACCCACATCCTTCGAATAATTTCACAATTAATCAAAAAAAGAAATGGCAAAGAACGAAGAAAAAAAGTGAAATACACATTGTCGAAGGACTGATTTTTTTATAATTATTTTCTTATATATTTTTTATTAGACATTAATAAATATAACATTGTTAATGTGTCTCTTTATCACTCTGTACTCTATTTATTAGTATACACATAAACTAGGACACTATACTTCCGTTTTCTGTTTAACATATCTAACCGACATCTTTTTCTCCAATTTCCACCTTTTAATGTTAATGAGTTTTTTTCCGAGATCTTTTTCTCTTATTTTATACTCGAAAGAAAGAGATCGTTTTCATCATTTTTTCCATTAATTAAGCGCTCCGAGATCATTTTTCTGGAATCAATTTAGCATTATCCAATAACATTTATTCTCTTGTTTCAAAGTCTATGCCATATTTGATTCAGTGAAAACTATGTGTACGTTTTTTTAGAAAATATCTTCATTGTATCATGGTGTCGAGCATAAAAGAGCTACGTAAGTGTATTAAAAAAGTATGCTTATCTTACATGGAATTCGCACACTAAACTAAACTTCTGTACATAACAGGCTATTCAAAAGGTCAACATTCACCTTTACAAGTCGAAAATAATCATCATAATCGTCTCAATAGAAAATATCAACGATCATCGTTCATATATTTTAGCTCCTGTTCGATTGATTTAGGGTTTTCACAATTTGTATATCATATAACGTAGATAAAATTAAGTTTAGACTATTAGTGGGCTAAAAAGCAAGTTAACTGATATAGATAACTAAATTTTGAACGATATATCTATCTTTTAAATTAAGTTTTTTGGCAATTTGTTTACATGCAATCAATCAGCTGACAGCTTCAAGTCAGTGTTATATTCAAAGTTCTTATCAAGTCGAATTGTTGAACATCTGAAATTTTGTTAGTTGGTTATGTACATGAATATGAATTTTATTGAAAATTTATCTCTTGTTTTTCTGAAAATTAGTGCTGGAATTAAAAGGTTTAATAGTTTATTTTGAATTCTTGAATATTTAATAATATAATATATTTCCATATCAAACTTGTCTCATCGAGCAATCATGTCCAGTGAAACCTGAATTACATTGGCACAGACCAAACTGAAAATAGCCAGTTGGTATACATCGGCCATGACATGCACTTGTACAATCGTTTACACATTTTGCTTTAGTCTGATTGCCATCAAACTTTGCCCATACGTGCTCGATAAGTCTTGCCTTATCTTCGATAAATGGATCCAATGGAAATCGTTCTTTTGTGAGTAATTCTGTCAGTTTATTCATTCTCATTCGCGTAATCACTGGATTATCGGGCACTGTTTTGAACCATTCGTTCAGTTTATTTACTTTTATCGTATCATTTTCTATTGAATTATCAAATGGTTCACCGCCCGATGTCGATGCATAGACATGTTTGACATAGTTCATGAATTTAGTATGATTTCCTTTACTGTACGACTCGCTTTCCTTTCCTTGAAAGGAAATTATAAAAGAAAAGCCTACTTCGTTTTCACTGTTGTAACCCTCTTGGTAGATTTTCTCAATGTCAGAACTATTGATTGTGATCAGTTGTTGAGCCACTCCACCTGAAAATAAGATCGAGAAAGTTTATTAGATATACGAATATATGATTTAATTAAACTACTGATGGAATTTTAACATGCAAAAAAGTTCTGACTTTTTGTTAATCTTTTTAAGATTTGTGTATTCGAGATCGCACAAATGTTAGATTCAAATAAACTTTTCATGAAAATCAAGACTAGATCGAACATCTATGCACAGATTGCATACATTGATTTCCTTACATTATGCAGTAGAAAATAAATTTTACAGTTGAAAACATGATTACCTAGTAAAATCTCATTGAGATAAGTGTATCCAAACTGATCGAAGATTGACTTTCGAATATATAACTCCGTCATTTCACAGTTAACATGACAACAAGGCATGGCGGCAATAGCTGTTCGAAAATCATTGGTCAACTCCAATCGAGGTTCAAAGAGTGTAAGCTTGACAAATGACATTCGAACATATGTATAATACATTGTATAATTGTACTTGTAAATATTGTCGAGCATCCACCTTGTCTCATCAGATGAGCCAAAGTTGATTGGACCAATGTTGAAGCCTGAGCTCTCGCTTTTACTATAACTTTCTTTATATTCATAGAACGTACTGATCTTTTCGGTCTTCGCACGTACTTCAGATGCCGGTATACAGATGACCTTTGTTTTGAAGAAATTCAGTAAAAAAAAACAGTCGATATTTAATAGAAGATGATTTATCTTACTTCGACATGTTCCGGCACAAGTTTAGTCAAACAAGAACCAATCGATTGTTTGGTGTAGTTCAGTTGAAAGATAGGAGCACCAAATCCACTCATTACACAATCACCTGAATAGCATACTGGGTTTCCGTGTGATAGCTTGTAGCCAAGAGCAATCTTATTACTGTTTGGCAACCAATTAGGTTTCACTTCATTGTTTTTGAGAGTAATGGAAATGGTGGCCATCGGCGACACCAGAAAGAATAAACACAGGAGAGCAATTTTGAACTTCATAAGACTGAAAAAAGACTCTTTGAATCACGAAAATATAAAGAAGAAATACGATGCAGTATTTTATCGTTTCCAACTTCAAATATTTACCAATCGTATTTTTATTACTTCATATCTTTTGTTGATGTTATAAATATTTGTTTCATATGTACGTTGGAAGTTTGATAACGATTGCGAATTCATCAAGATTTGCACTTGTTGAATCCTTGCTGCTTAATTTAGCCAATCCTTACTTTAAATATTTGTTCGGAAAGATTATAGTATAAATCAGATAAGATTTATACTTATTCAACCCTGCGCAATTAATGTTATCAGGCGGAAGTACTGCTACTATAAATACAGTTGAAAACTTTTCTTCATCGTATAAACTGTACAATCAACCATGAAATCTCTCTTACTACTAATCATATTGTTTGAAAGCACGCTACATGCGTTTCGAATCGTGGGTGATTCAGAATGGGAAGAATTACAACATTGGGCTGTTTATGAAAGTGTCGGCCGATACCTCGCTATGCCACAGGCTAAGGAAATTGATGATATCAATTGGCTGTCCAATTCGAACAAAATTGGATATGGATACAATCCTGTAAGAAATGTCATTTGAAAAAGATTCGAATATTTTGTTAATGTTAACAGATACGAGGTGATCCTGTCTGCTATACGGGTGATTGTCACATGAGTGGATTCGGTCGAAGCATCTTCCAGTTGGACTATACAAATCCACCACAAGGCTCTTGCACGACAAAATTGATTCCAAAAAATGTCGAAGTGAGTATTTTAGTGGATAGTATATTATATGCAAAATCGTTTGAAATTTTCTGTCGACCAACATCTTTCATTATTAAGGAGTTAACATTTTTTTTTATCATCATGAGCAAATTTTGAGATATTTCTAAACGATACACTCATTAATTTTGTGTCATCTTTTCATTAATTTGTAGCTTGATTGTATTCCATCCACAGAAGTACGCGAGAAAACTCAGAAAATTTCCAATCTCATAGAGTTGAAAGAGAGTATGGCACAAGGGTACAGCTGGAGCATTGGTGGTGAAATCATTTTGTCAAATCCAAAGATCCCGCCTATAACTTCACTTGCCTTCGGCTATGGTCAATCCCAACAGACTACATTCATGATGAATAACATCTATCGGGATGAGTCGATCGTGTATCATACCTATGCTCGGGTGTCCACCGTGAAACTGTCGTTATTTGAGCCAAAACTTGAACTATCTGATAATTTTCGTTATGTCATACAAAATCTTCCAGCAACTGGCACATACACATCAGCTGTGAAGAAATACATTCAGGACTACATCATCAATTATTTTGGCTTTACGTATATCACTGAATTATTGCTTGGTATGTGAATATTTGCATTTATCTTTTTGTCTAAACAGATAATTTTTAAGGTGGGATTGCTCAAATGACAACTGTGATAAACCAATCATCTATTGTTCCATTACAACAGGAAGGTATAAGTGGCACAGAAATGGTTCAATTGTCATTTAGCAAAATATTTAATTTCAACTACAACGAAAATGAAATGAAGAACTTGAGCAAATTTGAAACATTTCAACGCTATGTTAAATCATCGATGGCAACCATTATTGGTGAGTTTATACATTTCGTATAGGGTAGTGCAAGACTTCAGAATTTTGTTTCATATTGTTTTTTGAGCACACCTAGAACTCGAAGACTTTCAAATTGTTCTCTTAGATGACACATGATTCAATCAGAGCAGTCTATCTAAGGATTAATTTAAAGAGTTTATAAATGAATCTGAATATATAGAAACTTCAAGTAGCTAAACAGCTCTCCTCAAGATATCTTTAAAATCCAAATCATATGTAATAAATGAAAATTTTATGTAGGTGGTGAGATATACAAGAACGATCAAAAGCTTAATGAATGGTTTCAGACAATTCCTGACAATCCAGTTATAATAAAGTTCACCATTCAATCTATTTTCGACTTGATTACACCTGAACGTTTTCTCAATGACACTAATATTCAAGAGAAAGCAGGTTACATCATGCAAGCACTAGAAGAGTATGTCAACAAGACATCTACAGTCTATTGTGAAAATCAATGCACAAATGCAGCACAGGGTACCTGTCAACCATTGGGTGCCTATGCTTATGGTATATGCGTATGTTTGAATGGATTTTCAGGCTTTGATTGTAGTCGTCCGCCTCCACCCACTACGACAACGGTCGTTCCAACAGTCTAAAGCATAGCAATGATATTATCTTCTACTCCAAACAGAAAATGCAAGTGTTGAAAGAAAAATCAGGACTATAAGTTCAATGTACATTAATTCAGCTTAATTATAATCGATACGATAAAAAAAGATGAAATAAACATGTTTTTATCCCATGTACAGATTCAGTCGATATATGATACTGCTCGAAAGATTAATGATCGAGTCATGCTTTTATTCGATACATTTTGATTGAAACTAACATTTCTCGAATCAGATGAACTTTTTATTTGTACAGATGAAGCGTGAATAGCAAAGATATCCACGAAGTTATGTATGCAAGCGACACGAGAGACAGACTAGTCCGGTAAACTCTTCCATACTAGCTTACATATCAAGTCGTCTGTATATTAGAGAAGGGTATGGGTGTGTGGGTGTGGGTGTGGGTATGGGTGTGGGTGTGGGTGGGGTGTGGAGGGTGTGGGTGTGGGTGGGTGTCTGTGGGTGTGGATGTGGGTATGGGTGTGGGTGTGGGTGTGGGTGAGGTGTGGAGGGTGCGGGTGTGGGTGTGGGTGGGGTGTGGAGGGTGCGGGTGTGGGTGTGGGTGGGGTGTGGAGGGTGCGGGTGTGGGTGGGGTGTGGAGGGTGTGGGTGTCTGTGGGTGTGGGTGGAGGGTGGAGGGTGTGGGTGGAGTGTGCAGGGTGTGGGTGGGTATTTGTGGGCGTGGACGTGAGTGAATACGAGATTTACACCCACCCACACTCCACACTCACACCCACACCCACACCCACACCCACACCCACCCACACCCACGCCCACCCACACCCACCCACACCCACACCCACACTCACCCACACCCTCATCTGAAGATGCATTTCAAGAGAAAAAATATTATATTAGCAAATGCAAGCATGTTTACACGTTCGTTACAATATTTTACTCTTCTTAAACGTGAAAAAGTGCTCTTTTTAACATGACTGATAATATGAGTTTTGAAATCATTGATATCGAACACATCTTATAGGTTTTTATGACTGTTGTCATTGATATCTTTCGTATACAACGAGCCATTTCATTTGTTCAAGCCTTAAGTCGAGCTCGAGCTGCTACTTATATTGTATGGAAAATTACTGATGAAGTAAATTTACTTTGTTCTTGTATTATGTAGAGACATATATCATCTTGTCTCATGTTTCTTAATTATTTTATAGCCATCGAATATAAACAACTATTTAGAAATAGGTCTCAAAAAAGATGATCTCATTGGTGATATTCATTTTTCAAATATCCATTTTTCTTATCCATCACGACCTGATGTTCCTATTCTCAAGGGACTGTCATTCGATGTTAAGCGTGGTCAAACTGTTGCACTTGTTGGTTTATCTGGTTCAGGAAAATCAACATGTATACAATTATTACAACGATTCTATGATCCTTCTTCTGGTTCAATTTTAATTGATGGAAAACAAATCAATGAATACAATCTCAAATGGTTAAGACAACATATTGGTGTTGTTAGTCAAGAACCAGTTTTATTTCATACAACTATACGTCAAAATATCTTATTGGGTAGTGATTCAGCTACTGATGAAGAAATGTATCAAGCAGCTAAAATGGCTAATGCACATACTTTTATCATGACTTTACCCGATGTAAGTCAAAGGTTTATTGTACTCCTTTTACTTGCTGTCGTCTTGTATGATATTCTACATAGAAATATGAAACTAAAATAGGTGAACGTGGCGCTACGTTATCAGGTGGACAAAAACAAAGAATTGGTAAATGAGATTAATTGCTTGCATATGATATGATGTTTGTTTTTCTCTTTGTATTTTGCAGCTATTGCTCTAGCACTTATTCGCGATCCCAAAATTTTACTTCTTGATGAAGGTTAAATTTTATTTCTTTCTATTCAATTATACTATTCATACTCTTCTGTTCTATAGCTACTAGTGCCCTTGACAGTGAAAGTGAAAAAATTGTACAAGAAGCTTTAGATCGTGCTGCTCAAAGTATGACATTCATGATTCAATAAAACTATTACTAAATCATTGTGTTTTGTTTGTTGAACAGGTCGAACAACATTAGTGATTGCACATCGTCTGTCAACAATTCGTTATGCTGATAAAATTATCGTCATGCAACAAGGAGAAATAGTTGAAGAAGGTGATCATGAGTCATTAATGCAAATTAAAGGTGTATACTACGGACTTGTTCAACAGCAAAGCTTACGACAAGCTGAAGAAGAAGAAGAAGAAGAATTTGAACAAAAAAAAGCAGCAGAAATGTTCCTTTTTGATCAAACTAATTCAGATTATTTCGATATTCGAAGAAATCATGGCTCAACAATAGTTAGCATTAGTCCATCAATATTTTCTTTATTATATAGAAACAGAAACTATACAGTAAGTGAAGAAGACAATGAAGTAAGTAAAAAGACAAAGGTAATATAAAACAGAAAGCAAAGCAGTTGAATATATGAAATGAAGAATGATAATGATAGGAAAAAAAGGTAAATATCATATTGGCTATATTACGAATGAACAAACCGGAATGGATGCTAATGGCGATCGGATGCGTCACAGTTTTGTTCAATGGAGCACAAGAGCCTATGTTTGCTATTATTCAAACGAAAATGACGACAGTAAATAATTATTTACAATTGAGAAATAATATTTACTTTGGAGAGTTGAATTTTATTTGAAAGGTTTTTCAAGAATGTGATAAAGCTATTCAAAACCAACAAATTCTTCTGTATGTTCTTCTGTTTCTTGGCTTTGGAATTCTTATCTTTGGAGTTCAATCAGTTCAAGTATAGAATATGATGAGTTATATTATGACATTTTGTTTACAATTTCATTTCAGAGTTATCTATTTGCTTGTTCTGGTGAAATTCTCACTAAACGTCTTCGTTCCAAAGCCTTTCGAGCTATTCTTCGTCAAGAATCTGCTTATTTCGATCAAGCACAACATAGTACAGGTGCATTATGCACACGTTTAGCAACCGAAGCATCAGCTGTACAAGGTGCAAGTGACGTTCATTTTGGTATTATTTTTCAAAGTCTTCTCTCAATGATCTCTGGTATTTTTTTGGGATTTGCTTTTTCCTGGCAATTGACACTGTTGATCATGGCATTTCTTCCATTTCTATTACTTGGAAGTATTTCAAGAATTCGTTTAACAGCAAGATTTGAAAGGAAAGACAACAAGATTTTAGAAAATGCTGGAAAGGTTTGAAAAATTAATTACTCAATTTTATGTAAATGCTTGGATTTTATGATAAGTAGATGAAATCATAGACACAAGTAATTTAGCAGCGTCAATATTTTGCTACGCAGTACCATTCTATTTTTGAAACTAGCATAATAATGACAAATTCTAACTACCTAAAATGTGTACTCTGAGCAAAGATATTTTTGTCTCTCAAATATTAGATAAACGTCGCAAGAGAAAATTCGATGATTTACTATTTCGAATTCTTGTTGTGGAAGCCATGAGACATGTTCTTCTAATGAGTAATGAACACCTTCGTTGTGTAAGTCTTTCTTTCACAGTGAAAAGTTCATCAATATGCATTCAAATTTGTTGAAAGAAACGTCTAATCTTAAGAAACTCTCGCATTAATCTATGACAAAGAAAATCAGTAACGTTGCTAATTGAGCCACAGTGTTAAAACACGAATGTGTAAAATAGTGGAGAAAAAAAATGCATGAAAAGTAAAACAGCGAATACGTCTAATGGCGAAAACAAATACAGAATATTTCAAGAGTGACGAGTGCAACGTAAAATACGAGTAACTGACGAGAGAACTATTTCAACTTTTCAATCACATTTTCTTCCAACATATGTGGTTGTATGGAATTAATTGCGCTGATTCTATACATCAGACTCTTACCGACTTGTAGTTTTCCTTCGATGCCATGTTCTAGTTTCTGATCTTTTCCTGGCAGAGGTAACTTTTTCTGCCAGTACCCTTTAAACAGCATATCTCATTTATCTGAACTTTGAAGAGAACGGAACATGTACCATATGATTTATTAATTATTTGCTTGTTAACACTACAGTTTTTATCTAATCTTTGAATCGATAACGTACGAATTTTTATTTTGTATAACACATAACTAATGCCGGATTTTTTTTCTAAAGTACTAACGACCATTTTTTGAATAACTTTTTGTCACTTTGAGCTGTCGAGCTGCGGTTTTCACCTTCCAATAGAGTAAGGGAAGGAACATTTTACATATATAAGATTCATTCAGGTCGTGACTTTTTATCATGATCTTATCGGGACTGAAGAATTTTTCGATGTC